GCGCGGGCTCCTCGGGCCCGGCCGGGTCGGCAGCCCAGCCGCGCGAAGGGGTGGGCAGCACGCGGCGGCCGAGCAGGGAGCGGGCGCGGGGCGAGGGGTCGGGACCCCCGAGGGCGGCGACGACGCCGCAGCCGTCGGCCAGCATGGGCGCGTCGAACGAGATGGCCGGGTACAGGTGCTGGCGGATGAAGTGGTCGCGGTGGTTGAGCGCCGCGGCCAGGAGGCGCACCAGCACCTGACCCGGGCCCGGCGTCGGCTCCGGCACCTCTTTGAGCTCCAGCCTGGGGAGGGGGCGGCGGCGTGGACGGGTCAGTGGTGCGTTGCCAAACGGTTGGGGGATAAGTGAACGTATGCGTAGATGGTGTGGTACGCTGTTACCTACGGGTAATAGACTTTTCCCGGCTTTCCTTCCGTCTTCTTCACCCTTAATTGAAGTGGCATACTTGCTTGTTGTAGGACTTTGCCACGTTAAGTGGAAGAGTAGAGGATATCGGGTAATTGTTTGCGGGGGGAATGGGTCAGGTTCAACTCATCAGATCAGATCAGTACCGTGTAGTCAAGGAGGCGGGCGACGGACTGACTACGAGATACGTATCTTTTGGGGTATCGAGATGGGTGCCATCTATCTGGTATGATCAATGCGGACATGGCCAAGGAGCGATGGAGACGCTACGTAGGCACTTCTACATTTCCCCCCTCACTCAATACCTCGGCTCAACTGCCAAGCCCCGTCGATCCGCTAGTAGGCAGAACATGCACTGCAGAGCAACGTGATGGCCCGCGAGCAAGATATTCAAATCTAGGGCCAACCCAAGTGGATGCATTTGGTGATTCAAGACACATCTTTTCTTTTTTCATTACACCCTCTCGCGCTAGACAGACAGACCAAAGAAAATGCCATGCTGCACAAAGCTGTATTATATATCACGGTATTTTGGAAATGCATGCTGGGAGCGACAAGGGACATGGACTTCGCAGGAAACCAATCTAAACAACAAAACACAGTATAAACACGAGTAATGATGGCAGCGAGTATGCCCTTCCCGAGAAATAGCAAGACGGAGAAAAAAGAGTAATCACACCGAGACAACGAGTTCAACGTGCACTGCCCGGGACGTCGGATACTTTTCTACAGTTGTCCAGACAGGAGAGCCTCGGTGGCTGTGAGTGGAGAGGAGCAGGTTAGCAAGAACAAAAAGGCATAGGGATACGAAGAAGGTTGGTTACAAGGGAGTCAAAACATACCACTGTTGATGTACGCCCTCTTTGCCTCGAGCGGAACGCCGAATCGTCTCTCGAGCTCCTGCTTGATGCCCTTCTTGGTCACAGTCATCAGGTCGGCGGTGCGCAGGATCTCGCGGATCTCGGCCAAAAGAGCATCGTCTGTCGGGAGCCCGGCCAGATTGGCCATCTCAACCTCGTTGCCCGAGGGGAAGAACTGCGAGCCGCCGAATTGGCTGTGCCGGTTGTTGGGCATCATCATTTCTGAGGCGGCCAGCGACATGCGGCTGCCCGCGTGGGGCATTTGCGGCACCGGTGGCGTGCCCTTTGGCTCGTAGGCGAAGCCGGTAGTGCTGCCGGGGCGGCTGTGCGCATACATGGCTCCCATGCCCCCGTAGGCGCCGTGCATGGGCATGCCGTACTCAGACACGGCAACAGGTGCCTTGGTGGCGTACGAGAAGCCAGAGGCCTCGGACCGCGTGTCGTCGCGCGCCGTCTGGGCATCCCACAGCTCGCCCTGGTACTCCTCCCACTTCTTGCGTGGGATCGACGACGGGTCGAACTTGCCCTCGTCCGTGACAACCACCTTCTTGCCCTTCTCGCCCGTCACGACACGGGTGTTACCCCAGGTGAAGTCGTCCATGTGCCAGAAGGCATACAGCGGCAGACCAAACGAGAAGATGGGCATGGCGATGATGTACAGAATCATCCATCCGATCATCTCCCACTTGCGGCGCAGGATGAAGATGATGGCCTGGAGACCGTACACGGCGGCGAGCAGAACGAAAGCCACAATGGGGACCAGTGTGGGGAAGAGAATGATACGCGCGATCAGGTAACCAATGTAGGCAACGGTAACGGGCTGGACAATCGTCGACAGCAGGTCGATGAAGACAACAAAGCGCATCGAAAAACAGCAGAAACCACAGAGCTGGCCCATGGGCATAAGCTCCATCAGATTGTGCACCGTTGAGTTGATCCAGCGACGTCTTTGCGAGAGGAAGACCTTCCAGTCATCGGGTGCGATGGTCCATGCGTGGGCGCGGTTCAGGTACTTGGTCTTGTACTTGTTGTGGTACTTGAGCAGGAGGGTCGTGAGGTAGCGATCCTCACCGAGGTGCAGCAGGTTCTTCATGTGCAGCGTGTCGACGCGGATGGTAGAGTAATCCTCGACGATCTCGCGGGACACAAACAGTGGCTTGCCCGAGTCGGCGGCGCGGATGCGGTACATGGAGAAACAACCGGGCAGACAGGTAACTGAGCCGAAGAGCGATTCGAAAGCCTTGGACAGGTTGTGCGAGATGTAGTATTCGTACACCTGGATCATGGTAATAAAGGAGGCTTTGGCGTTGGTGAGCGACGTTTCACCGCACACGGCGATAAGGCGCGTGTCATCGAGGAAGGCTGAAACCATGCGTGTAGCCGAGTCAGGAGCAACAACCGTGTCGGCGTCGATCTGAAGCGTGTACTCGTAAAATGTCGGGTTGACTCCGATGATATTGCGGATCTGGTGGTACATTTCGAGCTCCAGAGGGCTCATGGCCAGGTTGTAGTGAACGCGGTTCAGGAAGCGCATGATGATCATCTGGGAGTCACGTTTGCCACGGTTGCCAGGACGCGAGACCTCGGACGGCTTGCCAACCTTGACGACGACCATGAATGGCACAATGTGACCTTGCACCTCGTAGAGACCCGAGTAGACCTTGCCCATGTTGTGTTGCTTCAGACCCTCTCCGAGGGACTCGAAGCTGAGAGGCTCAGGGTCGACAGTCTCCGACACGCCCAGGATATCAAGCACGATGCGCGGGGTGGGCCTGTCGTTGCCCTGGCCGATAATCATACCGTCACAAACAACAACGAGAAGCTTCCGCTTGTCATCGTAGTGCATGCGAGCGACCGAGTCGATGGCACGGCGAAGCGAGTCCTCGTCCTCGGTGTACGCCGGGATTTGACACATGATGAACTTATCCAGGTTCTCTGGCATGTTCTTTGTGCTGAATTGGAGGGCAGCCAGGAACTTGAAGCCAATGATGGAGCACAGGATGACGGTGATGGCCAGGATGAAATACTCGGCAAACTGGCAGCGGATGGAGCTGCGCGTGTCCAGGTCGCCCACGTAGAAGAGGTTGTCGAGGCACAGTTGCATTCGGCTCCTGAGGTCGCGGTTCATGTTCAAAGACGTCCAGAGCTGGCTGATGTCTTCACCGTTTCTCTGTTGGAACAGCTGTATGACACCTGGATCCATGAAATCGAGCAGAGACTGGTCGGTGGGCTTCTCCTTGCCGACCGGAACCTGGAAGTCTCTTCCACCCTGGATGTACTTGGTCATGTCGTAGACGCGATTGTTGAGGATGGCAATGCTCTGTTGCTTGTTGGCGAGAGTCTTGACATACTGGGCCGAATAGCCGATGTTGCCCTTCTTGTAGCTCGACTTCAGCATGACCATCTGCTGTGCGAACCAGTCCGGTCTGCTGTCGTTGGTGGAGAAGCGGAAGTCGTGGTACTTGGAGTTCCGGTCGACCTTGGAGATGAGTAGGGGCGACTCGGTCTGGTTCGAGTCCTTGTAATCAAGAGGGACAGCCGGGTCGATGGAGCCGGCCCTGCCTGCGCATAGGGCGCTGACCTGGATGGGGAACAGACCGGAGATGTCCATACCAGCATAGTCGAGAATGGTCTTGGTGGATACATAGCTGGGGTAGTGTCGCGGCGCAAAAGTGCCAATGTCGAAGACCTGGCCGCGGATGGCAGCGTATGCGCCCTTGCCATTCTTGCCGTCCATGGCCGACAGCTCTGTGCCGCTGAAGACGTTTTGCGTGGGGCAAACTAGCATGGGGAAGAAGATGACGAAGAAGATGGCCACCAAGCAGCTGGACCAAATGATGATGTTGATGGCCAACTTCTCCCTCCACGCCATGCGCACGTCTTTGCGGGGCATCTTGCCCATCCATCTGATCAGGAAATCGGGTACCCAGAACGTAAGCATGTACGTAACGAAAACCCAGCGCTTGCGACTGGGGCTGTCCTTGTACTCCTCGACCTCGACCAAGGACTTTTCGTTGCCGCGCTCCGCCATCTGCTCACGCGTGTCTAGATTCTTGAACATGTCACCGCCGCCAAAGGCCGATACGCCAGCCTCGGAGCGAGCGTCGATATCGTTGCTACCAAAGTAGCCCGACTTGGCCTTGTCACTGTTGAAGGGTGAGCCACCCATGGCAAGCAACCGTTCTTTGGATGCCCCGAAAGGCAGTTCTCCGTGCGGTGTCCCATCGGTCGACTCGCCGGTCATGCCAAAGCGGGCAGACATTGATGTTGCATCACTCAGCTGAGCGATCTCCATCCAGCAGCGCTCACTGAGGAAGACTCCCGTCGAACCGATCTGGATCTCGTTGATGGGCCAGCGCTTTTCGTCAACGACGGACTCGACTTTCTCGCGCTCGCTACCGACAAGCATCGTGTCGGCGTCGGCGAGACCGAGAAACTCGCCGAAGGGCAAAAACACACTGAAGTCGGCCGATCGGAGTCGCTGGCTGATCTCGGCTATACCGAAAGTCTGCATCTGCGTCCTTACGCACTTGGAGTCAAACTGGTTTGCAATGCGCCTATCATTGGGCTTCAGACAGAAAACAAAGTATGCGTTGGTGTTGGGCGCCGTGAATGCCTTGGTCACATTCTCAAGCGACGCGAGGAACTGGCCAGTGGCACCCTGCTCGGTTTGCTTGCTTGCAGTAGCCTTCCGTGAATCGCCAGCCTCGCTAGCGATATCGTCCATAGAGGGCTGCGCACGGGAGACCGACTCCTGGCGGTTGCGGAGCGTCCTCGAGGTCCCAGGCCTAACCTTGCGGGACATGACGCTGGGCGCACGCATCGGCTTGGAGCTGACGGAGGCCTGCATGACCGTGGTCCTCTCCTGGGGGTGGACAACTGTCTGGAGAGCCTCCTGGCCGAACAAGCGGGCCACGAACTCGCTCTTGGACGAGTTGATCAGGTTGAGAAGATCGCCTGAGATAACCTCACCATTCTCCTCAACCAGACCCTTGACAGGGTACTCGACTTCACCCGCAAAGTGCCTGACGGTGAAGGACGCAGCGGTGTTCTCCGACAAGAAGTTGCTTCCAGGGAGTTTGGCAGTCGAGGAGCTGACCACGATGGCCGGGTTCTTGCCCTCGAAGCGCTTGCGCAGACTCTCGAGTAGCTGGATATCAGTGCGGTGGCGCCGGGTCTGGTCATCCAGGATGCTAAGAAGACCGTTTCCGGGCTTAAGCAGGCCTTTGACGGCGTCCGAGTTGTCGAAATAGCTGGTGGGTGGGACGCTGACCTCTTCAGTTTCGAGCAAATCTGCCTTGCGATCGAAGAAGTTCTGAAGAGTAATGTTGTACATGGACTCGGCGGCGGCATTGTTGAGCAGGAGGTCCAGAGCAGAGTTCGTCGAGCTCTGCGGGGAAAAGCCGGGAAAGTCGATTATGGAGACTGTGTTGGCGATCGACTCCTCGGGAGCGCAGATCTTCTGATTGATGGTTTCGACGACATAGGCAACGAGCAGCGAGTAGAGCGTCCGGGCCAGCTCGTTGGCGTTGTTGCGGGCGCCCACAGGATCCAGCATGACAGTAACCCTCTCTTTGTGAATGATCTTGGTTTTGTACCCCAGGGTGGTCTGGAGGTCACTGGCGCTGACGCCCAGGAAGGCTGCAACAATTGTGAGAACATCCTTGTTCTTGGCAACCGTCGATACCTGGGCGCCCTCGTGGGAGAAACCTCCGCTCTCATCACCCGCAACTGTCGTGTTGGACGACGACTCGAACTCGAGCTGGCCGATGTGGAGAATGCTGGCAAGAACCTGGCAGATTTCGGCGATCTCGCTACGGGGAAACTCGAGCTTGCGAAGCGCGGTCTTGAACAACTGGAACCCCTCGGCATCGTTGATACCAACCTTCAGTTGGGTTGGGTGGCCGAGATATCTCCACCGCCTGGCCACTGCGCCGCTGGGCTGCTCGAAGCCGAGATGGGACTTTTCAGCTTCGCTAGTACCGGCAAGGATGTAGTAGAGGATGTGGAAATTGCGCTCTCCAGTCGGAACATCCGTGATCCTGCTTCGTTCTAGACGGTGGTCTAGCAATTTGCCACCGATGAGGAGCGGGCTCGTGGAGGAGGCAGTATCATACTGCAGCTCGTAGAACAGACCAGCCTTTGAGGCTGTTGGGGTCGTCGCGGTTTTAGTCGTGGTCAAAGTGTCAAAGACGTATGCGGCGAGTGAAACCTTGGTGGACAAGGGGGTTGACGACTTGTTCAGGAGCGCCGTCAGGAGGTGGGAGCGAATAGTTGTCTTTCCAGATCCAGATTCACCACTGCGAGGATGAAAGAGGAGGGTTAGCGAAGATTCCAACCACATACGGTGAATAACAGGAAGCACTTACAGAAAGAGAATGGCCTGGTTTTCGGATCGGTGGCCAAGACGCAGGAACGCCCGATCGGCCATGTCCTCGGCTTCGCCATGGGCACTACCTGCCTTGCCGCCATCTGGGCCTTTGGAAGAAGAGCTGTAGGTGTTGATCGAGATGAAGGCATGCGAGGACAGGCGGGCGGTCGGGAGGCTGACGTGGAAGCGGCTTGCGAGATGGCCAGTGAGGTGGGTATCTGACTGAAGATGGGCGGGCAGCGACGGCAGCGACGGCTGGGTGTGGGCGCCTCCGTTACTGCCAACTGGAGGGAGGTTGAGCGTCATGATGGGGGCTTGAAGCCGCCAGTCGGCGCGGCTGAATGCCTCAAGGGCAAGTAGGGGCCTACGCGGGCCGTATTCCTCTTCGTCCCCTTTCTGTGCCAGTCGTTGGGTTCAAGGCTTGTGGTGAACGCGTCGTAATGGGTAAGGGTTGTGCGGTCGGTTGCGGTCTGTAGAATGCGGTGTCAAGCGTGGAAGTTTGGGAATGAGGCTGATATGGGCGACGGGCAAAAACCAAGCGCGTCCTCTCGTTGGTGCACGCGGGAGAAAGTGATCAAGAGGGGAAGTGGTCTTTGGTCCGGGTGCCTGCGTTTGAGCGTAGCTGCTCGGTGAAAAAAGCTGGTGTTGTGCTCCGTGGGACGCGAACAGATTCCGACCCCTATTACGATTATGCTTGGCCTCGCTTCTTCCTCACGCCCTAACAGGGTCCTGGAAACGTGATCCCCGTAAAACGAGTGTGGGAAAGAAACAACAGGAAATAACGAATGTCTGCCTCGAAGGCTGCAAAGTTGAGGAATGAGAAGCCAGGAGGGAGGGCAATAACAGAGCCTCACGACGAAGCTTAACTCCCGATCAATCCAATGGCTTGTCAACGGTCTCTCTGCTTCCTGACGGCGTCTTTGCAGCGATGAAATCCATGAATCGTTGCAACAGCGGAGGTTCATTTGTACGGCGAGCCATACGAGCCAGGTGCGCACCCTCAGTTTCTGGGACCCCGGGCTTGTGCCACTGGTCGGAGACGGCCGAGGGGTGGCTGTAAGGACGCAGTACGTACCCTAGTCCGACCTCACTCCAGTGAGTGGGACTTTGGGTGGTCGCAAGCAGGGACAATTGCGGATGGCCAGGCGGGCAGGCTCGACTGTCGCCAACGCACTGTGTGATCCTAGCTGAGGTCTAGTGCTGAGGTTGGTGGTGATGGAAACTGCGCGAAGGGCATTTGACTGAACCAACCAACGGTTGCCTCTCGCCTGTGCTTCCTTTTCGTTGCTTTTTCCAATGCAATCAGGCGATCTGATGCACAAGTACACCATTCTTTGGTCATCTGCTTGCTTCCTTGCATTGCCCCATGGAATATTATCAAAGTCCCCAGCCGCCCACGCCTGCAGCGCTGCACAGCACGGCGCGGCCCAGAATTCTTGCAAAAGGGATCACTTTGGCGATGCGAGTCACGCACTCCCCTACCCTTCTCTTTTCCCCCTTTCCGCCTACTTCCCCTTCCATGGCCATGACATAACGAGAGTTAGTCCTGTCTCTGCCACCCCACGATTAAATGCCGTCAGGTTAAGGCCAGGCCAACACGCATCACGAGCGGTGAAGAAAGTCAGAAGCGAGAAAGTTTACGTTGGCACCGGCAGCTCCCGCCGGGCCGGTTTGCATCTTGGCCTCGGTTTTGGGATGGAAACTCGAGGTCAATTGCCCCAAACAACAGCCAAATTAACACTCTAAGCCACCCTGTTTTCTCGCCGCAGATGTGGAGGCGCCGAAGTTTGCATTGACAACAACAATCCAGACCCCATTTCTGGCCCTAGCGTCGAGGCCACGCCTGCTTGAAGGCGCATGATGAGACCGGTACAGTTGGGACACAAAAAAGAGAGAACAAAAAACACTGCCCAGAAAACCAGCCACAAGGCTTCTGCGCCTGTCTGCACCCTCGGGATCTCCAGACCTCGTTGTCGTGAGAACCTAGCCGCACTGTGTGTTTGGTCGGTGATGGGCAGGGGATTCGTGGTATTGCTACGTAACTCCATGGCTTGATTCGGGCAGCCCCATTAGTCTCGGATGGATCTCCCGTTCTGGAAAACAAGACCTAAACAGACAACGAACTGGGGAATGCAGAGCATGCAAACAAAACTGGCGCCATGTCCATGCGCTTTCACTCCCACGATGCCTCGCATCTGGGTTCGGGCTTTGCGCCTAGGTTCCTACTTGTGAGGTAGGTACAGGTGAGTAGGATATTAAACGTTACGGCCGCAGATCCTTCCTAATTAGGCCACGTCCAGTCTACATATTTTCTCATGGAAAACCCCGACAAATTAATGTACCGCTACCCGCGCCTCTATCTGCCAGAACCCACTAGAATCGTCCCAAGCTATTAGTTACAATACATTGATTCCTACTACAAATTGTGCGTTGAGATATGTACCCTTTCCCCCCTTGCTAATACCCTGACAGACCCCCCCC